GAAATGAACAGACAGTTCACAAAAGAATGAACACAAATGGCCAATAACTATTTTTAAAAGTATTCAGTATCCCCAGTAATCAGGGAGAAGCATATTATTATTATTATTATTATTATTATTATTATTGGTTTTTTGAACCAGGGTTTTTCTGTATATAGCTCTGGCTGTTCTAGAATTCACTCCATTGTTGACCAGGCTCACTTTGAACTCAGAGATCCGACTGCCTCTGCCTCCTAAGTGCTGGGATTAAAGATGGGCACCACTATCACCCAGCAGAAAACTTTTAAAAAATGATTTAGTCTTATGTGCATTGGTGTTTTGCTTGTGTGTGTGTCTGCTTGAGGGTGTCTGATCCCCTGGAACTGGAGTTACAGACAGTTGTGAGCTGCCATGTAGGTGCTGGGAGTTGAACCCTGGTCCTCTACAAGAGAAGCTGGTGTTCTCAACCACTGAACCATCTCTCCAGCCCTAAAACTGTTTAGAGATGTACCACTTTACCCCAGTCAGAATGGCTGTCCTCAACAAATGTGACAACAAACGCTGGAGAGGATGGGGAGAGAGGTGCCCTTTATTTGCTGCTGGAGGGAGTGCAAATCAACACAGCCATTGAAAATCATTGTGGATGCTCCTCAAAAAGTTAAACGTAGAACTACCTTATAACCCAGCTGTTCCACTCCTGGGCATATACTCCGAGAACTTCATACCCTGCATGGAGATGCTCACACTCCATGTTTATTGCTGCTGTGTTCACTATAGCAAGGAAATGGAACCAATCTAGATGTCCATGAACAGATAAATGGGTAGTGAAAATCTGATAGGTATATAAAATGAAATTTTAATCATCCCTAAAGAAAAATGAAACCATGAAAATTTCAGGAAAACTGATGGAATACAATGTATACTATTAATCAATTTATTTAGATTTATTTTATTTAGCCATCAGAAAGAAAAATATTGTATGTTCTCCCTTTTTTATGGGTCCTAGTTCATAATGTATGCATATACACGTGCGTGTGTCTGTGTGTGTAACAGCTGTAAATATGGGGACAGTGTAACATATAGAAAGTGTCGGAGACCAAGAGAGGTTAGTATTAGATGACAGGGAAGGACGGATGCAGGAAGAAGAACTCATGACTCAGGAAGAGGAGACAAAGCGCATTGTTTTCCTGGTTTCAACTCTGTCACAGTGTTTCCTTTTGGTGGTGGATAAGTACATTAGAATGTAGTTGATAGTGAAAAGTATAAACCCGAAGCGAAGCTCCAGGGCTTCTGAATGGCCATTCTAACTAATGCATAGAATGTCACTGAGATGTATAGAGTTCAGGACTGGGCCAGTGTTTGAGAGGCGTCTTTGAACCAGCTGTGAGTTTTTATTTGTGAGTTCATTACAATGAAATGACATTACATTAAAAATAGTCTTCCCTCTGGATGTTAAACGGTTGCCAGCCCACACAGCTGTTACACTAGGCTTTACAGATGTGACTAGAACACTGGCTCATCCCTGCAACTCCAATGCTCAGGAGGCCCTGGTGGGAGGTTCCCCATGAGTTCCAGGCTAGCCTGGACTCCAGAGTGAGACCCTGCCTCCAAACAAGAAGGGCCGGAAGAGATGGCTCAGCAGTTAAGAGTGCTTGTCACTCTTCCAGAGGGTTAGCTTCCAGATCGCTCACTGATGGTTTACAGCTGCCTTTAAATCCAGCTCTAGGGGACCCACCCTCTTCTGGCCTCCACATGAACATACCACCTCCCAACCCCCACAAGCACACAGATACACATAATTTAAAAAAATAAAAATTTAAAAGAAATCTTTTTTAAAAGTGAGATCAGGCTGGAGAGATGGCTCAGTGGTTAAGAGCACTGACTGCTCTTCCAGAAGGCCTGGGTTCAATTCCCAACACCTGCATGGCAGCTCACAACGGTCTGTAACCCCAGCTCCAGGGGATCAGACACCCTTGCACAGACATGCATGCAGGCAAAACACTAATGCACATAAAATAGAAATAAATAAATCATTAAAAAAAACTAAGGTCAATACCCAGTGCTGCTAAATAGATAAGCAAATAGCCTACTGTGGTGCCTCACTCCTGTAATCCCAGCACTCAAAAAAGGGGATCAACAAGGTTTTGAGGTCATCCTAGGCTACATAGTAAGACTGTATCTCAAAAGTCCAGAGAGATAGATATATGAAAGAACAGATGGATGGATAGGTAGATAGATAGACAGACAGACAGACGGATAGATGATAGATAGATAGATAGATAGATAGATAGATAGATAGATGATAGATAGATAGATAGGGCTCTGTAGTAATAACTTTTGCTTTTAAAAATTATTCTCGGGGCTTGAGAGATGGCTCAGAGGTTAAGAGCACTGACTGCTCTTCCAGAGGCCCTGAGTTCAATTCCCAGCAACCACATGGTGGCTCACAACCATCCGTAATGAGATCTGGCGCCCTCTTCTGTATACATAATAAATAAAAAAAAATTATTCTCATTTATGTATATGTGTGTGAAGCAGCATGAGTTTACATGCACCCCATACATGCAGGTGTCCACAAAGGCCCGAGGTGTTGCATCCCCTGGAACTGGAGCTGTCCTGTGACTCCACACACAGGCAGTGACACTCAAGTGACTGCACTCACTCACATGTGCCATACATACACCATACACAATAATTTTGCTTTTTTTTTTTTTTTTTTTTTCCGAGGCTGGGTTTCTCTGTGTAGCTCTAGCCACAGTGTTGGCCTCTAACTCGGGGATCTACCCGCCTCTGCCTCTCAAGTGCTGGGATTAAAGCATTCACCACCATTTCCTGGCCATAAATAGTTTTTTTAAAAGACATCAAAGTAAGAAGAAGACTATTTGGAAGAGGGAGGGGTCAGCTGGAGTGAGAGGGAGGTAGACAAGATGAGTAATGAGGGGTGAGCATGATCAATATACATTATGCACACATGTGAAAATATCGTGATTACAGTCAGAGACATGGCCAAGCCTGAGGACCTGAGTTTGATCCCTGGGCCCCACATGGTAGAAGGAGACAATGGATTTTTGCAAACTGTGATGTTTGCGCGTGCGCGCGCACGCGCACGCACACACACACACACACACACACACACACACACACACACACACACAGTGCTTAAGAAAGAAGAGAGGGTGTTTGTAAGCAGAAGATAGCATGAACAAAGACCGCTGGGCTGAAATCTGAATCCAGCTCACAGATATTGTCAAGAGAATGAGTGTATTCCAGGCTGGGCTCTCCCTCCGTCTCCTTACCCATCACCAGGTCTTCTCTCTGTCCTCGCTCCCACAGGTCCTTCCTGTGGATCCTCTCAAAGGTGCTGAGAGCCAGCAGCCAAGCCCCCCTTGTCCCCATATGGGCCACCATCAGCTGGGCCATTTCCAGAGGACCAGCCGTCTCCATTCGTCCCCAGGGGATCTTATCCGGGCCCGGTTCCTCTGCAGTCCCCAGGTATAATTTGAATTTCTTCAGTTCCCCAGCCTCGAGCTCTTCCAGGTAGGTGGACAGTCGACAGAAGACATCCCGAGCTGTAGTCGGCAACATGGGGATGCAGTCTCGGGGCCAGGCGCTCTAACGTTTCTCGGAGGGGGCAGTGGGCACTGTGGCATGCTGTCACCGCCTCATTGACAAGCAGAAGGGAGCAAGGGGTAGAGGAGTGAGATCGAGACAGAGGCACGATCCTTCAAGAAATCACACTGGCTTCTCTGATGCCTGCCCCTCTCAAAAACAGTGTTTGCTTTGAAGCAGGGGAAGTTGGTGTGAGGTAATCCTAGGCGCCCTTGACTGTAAGCACGACCTGTGTTGAGCAAGCTTCTGCTCTCTCTTCCCGGCTTCCTTGACATAACAGCCACTCTCTTCTTGTCATCCTCACCCAGGAAAGGTGTGTGAACAGTGCCTTGGCCCTCTTCCAGGGATATGTATCCAGAACCTTGCGGCACACGCCTTTAATCCCAGCATTTGGGAGGCAGAGGCAGGTGTGAACTCTGTGAGTTCGAGGCCAGCCTGGTCTGCAAATCAAGTTCCAGGATATGCCAGGACTGTTACACGGAGAAACCCTGTCTCAGAAAAAGAGGGGAAAAAAAAAGAACCTTGCATGGGGTTGGGGGGTTGGGGTAGGGGTTGGCGCTGAGAATGTGGCTATTAGCAGTATGCTTGCCTAGCACCAGTGAAGCCCTTGGCCCCATCCCCACCACTGCATGGAAAGGGTGTGGTGATGCATTCTCCTATAAGCCCAGTATTCCTGAGATAGAGGAAGGAGGGTCAGAAGTTCAAAATCATGCCCAGCTAAATAGTGACTTCCAGGCACATAGTGGTACAAAACTCCAGGACAGCCAGGGTTCTGTTACACAGAGAAATCCTGTCTTGAAAAAAAACCAAACCAAGGGCTGGAGAGATGGCTCAGTGGTTAAGAGCACTGGCTGCTCTTCCAGAGGTTCTGAGTTTGATTCCCAGCGACCACATGGTGGCTCACAACCATCTATCTGTAAGTGAGATCTGGTGCCCTCTTCTGGCTTGCAGGCATATATGCAGAAAGAACACTGTATACATGATAAATGAATATTTTTTAATTAAATAAATACTGAGTTCAAGGTCAATTTGGGATACACAGATTTTGGGGAAAGACATGGTGTGCATACCTTTTTTTTGTTTTTTGTTTTTTGTGCATACCTTTAATCCCAGCACTTGAGAGACAGAGGCTGGTGGATCGCTATGACTTTGAGACCAGCCTGATCTACATAGTGAATTCCAGGTCAGCCAGTGATACATTGTGAGACTCTGGAAAAAAAAAAAAAATCTTAGATGGGTGTGGAGGCACATGTTTGTAATCCTGGTAGGAGGATTGCAGACTCAGAATTAGCCTGAACAACACAATGAGATCCTACCTCAAACACAAAACACAACAAAAGCTTCCCTAGAGCTGGAAAGATTGCTGAATGGATAAAGGGCTTGCTTTCTGTGCAAGCTTGAGGGTCTGAGTTCAAGTTCTCAGAACTTAAGGAAGCTGGACATGCGGGTGGGGGAGGTGGAGGTGGGGTAAATTTGAAGGCCAATGCGTCTGAAGTGCACAGCAGCAAACAAGAGACCTTGTCTCAAGCAAGATGGAAGGCAAGGACCGACACCTGAAGTCCTCTGCACTACCTCCTGTGCTGGCTAATTTTATGCCAACATGACACTGACTAGAGTCATGTAAGAGGAGGGAACCTCAATTAAGAAAGTGCCTCCACGGGGAGGGGAGGGTGGCGGCGGCGGCGGCGGCGGCTGCTGCTGCTGCTGCTGCGACTGCAGCAGCGCACGCCTTTAATCCCACCACTCGGTAGGCAGAGGCAGGTGGATCTCTGTGAGTTCGAGGCCAGCCTGGGCTACCAAGTGAGTTCCAGGAAAGGAGCAAAGCTACACAGAGAAACCCTTGTGTCAACCCCCACCCCCCAAAAAAAAGTGCCTTCGTAAGACTGGCCTGTAGGGCATTTTTTTAAACTGGTGATTGATGGGGGCATGCCCAGTCCATTGAGGGTGAAGCCATCCCTAGGGGGATCCTGGGTTCGATTAGTAAGCAGGCTGAGCAAGTAATGGGGAGCAAGCCAGGAAGCAGCACCCTTCTATGGCCTCTGCATCAACTCCTGCCTCCAGGTTCCTGACCTGTTTGCATTTCTGTCTTGACTTCCTTCAGTGGTGGACTATGGTGTGGAAGTATAAGCCAAACAAACCCTTTCCTCCCCAACTTGCTTTTGATCATGATGTTTCGTCACAGCAATAGGAACCCTACTAACTAAGACACCTCCAACATCTTCACAGGTCATTGTAGCCACTGAGTGTCTGTACACAGACACACACATACGCACACACTAAATAAATAAATGCTATTAATTTTTTTTTGAAGTTTGTTTGTGTATGGGTGTATTTATGACTTCATACATGTCAATGCACTACATTCATGCGGAGCCTAGAGGCCAGAAGAGGGTATCCCTGGACCCTTGAGTGAGCTGCCGTGTGGGTGTTGGGAGTCAAAGTCAGGTCCCGTGAAAGAGCAGCCAGTGCTCTTAAGCAAGAAGCCATCTCTCGAACCCTGTAATTAATTACCCTCACCCCTCCACCCCCAGAGACAAGGTTTCTCCGTGTGATAGCCCTGGCTGTCCTGGAACTCCATTTGTAAGCTGGCCTTGAACTCACAGAGATCCTCCTGCCTCTGCCCCCGCCAAGTGCTGGGATTAAAGGCATGCGCCACCGCACCCACTTCCCTGTAATTAAAAATTTTAAACAAACAAACAAAAAATAATCTACAGATATCATAGGGGGCGACTAGCTTCACAGAGGCCTCCTATAGGCTTCCTCCAGCTACTTGTTAGCTTGCTTGTCTTTTGAGACAAGGTCTCATTTAAATAACTGAGCCTGGCTGTGAACTGACGATGTGGTTCAGGATGACCTTGAACTTCTACTGGGTTTACAGGTGTGTGACACCATGCCGGGGTTATCCAGGCCTGGGAACTGAACTCGAGGCTTTGAGTGCATGTTAGGCAGTCACTGCACCACCTGACCCACATCGGTAGCCCCACTCACAGTCACTGCTGTCTAGCCCTTCCACACATACAGAGAATCCAACTTCCCACCCCATACTGCAGGCTTCTCTGATTTTAAAATTCATGCATAGCAGTTTGTTCACGTTCCCTTCGGGTCTCTCTTGCTCACCATTGTGAGGTCCATCCCACATTCTTTCTCATGCTTCTGGTTCCACTCGCCTGATTGCTGAGGTATTTGGACCTGGGACTGCTGTCGAAGCAGTCAAGTACAGGGAATGATCTAGTAGCCCGAGACCCTGTTTGGTTTTGGTTATGCACCCCCCTCTCCGGTAATAATGCACTTGGCAGCCTACTTCCTTCACCTGTAAGTACTGTGCACACTTGCCCTTCTCCAATAATACACCTACCAACATCAGGCTTCCTGTCCCCCAGTCTGCACTGGGCCGTCCCCTCTCTGAACAATAGTATAGGTTTTTCTGCCCCGCACCCCCCAAACAATTGGATTTAGACAGTTTCAGTTCAATTGTATGCCCAATGTTCTCTGGTAGGAAGAATGAGAACATTGCTCCAGCCTGAACTGGTTTAGGATACATGTGCAGTAAAGCAAGCTGTATCCTCAAGTGCACTCTTAGGGAAAATTCTGCATATGATTAAAAGCAGTTGCATTATGGGAAGGGGTACATGCAGCAGAAAAGCTATTATGACTGGAGGGATGGCTCATTGGCTAAGAGTATACATTTACTACTTTTACAGAAGACGAGAATTTGGTTACATCTGATGACTCTGGTGATGGGATTAATGGCGTGTGCCACCACCGCCCAGTGTTGTTTTTGATTCTTTGGAACCTAGAAACATCCAGCCCAGACCCTGACCATGTGGTAACACTAAATTCTCAATAAGACAAGGATGTCAGAACTGCTTCTCAGAAGTCTTTGAGTTCAGAAAGATTTTGAATCTGGAGTGATGGCACAGCTGGACGCCCACACTTGGGAGGTGGAGTCTGGGGAATTAAGAGCTCAAAGCCCGCCAGGCGGTGGTGGTGGTGGTGGTGGTGCGTCGACTTTAATTAACCCCAGCACTCAGGAGGCAGAGACGATGGATCTCTGTGAGTTCAGCCTCGACATATCTAGTTCCAGGCTGCATGAGACCCTATCTCAGCTACACACCGTACAACGCTCTTAGAACTTCCAGAGGACATGTGAAATAAATCTTCGAGTGTCTCAACAGTGGAGGAAAATCACCTTTGCAGGTCAGATCATAACTAGGCAGGTTGGGGAGGTGAGATGCTGCTGAGCTGTCTGGTGGGTTTCGGGGTCAGCTGGAAGCTATCAGGAGATGGGGTGAGATAGGTCATCAGAAAGTGAGTCAGAGCTGGGGTGTAGCTCAGTGGCAAAAGAGTTTCCTAGCATGCACAGAGCCTGATTACTACCTCACATCCCTAAAAGAAAGAAAACTCCAGAAAGCTGGTAAGGACATTTGGAAAGAAACTTAGCTTTCAGGCCAAGGATAATGGGAATTAGAGATCTTGTTTTTGTTTGTGTGTGTATATGTGTTCTTTGCTTTATTTTTTTTTTATTTTTGTTTATTTATTATGTGTACAGTGTTCTGTCTGCATGTATCACTGCAGGCCAGAAGAGGGCACCAGATCTCATTACAGATGGTTGTGAGCCACCTTGTGGTGGCTGGGAATTGAACTCAGGACCTCTGTGAGAGCAGTCAGTGCTCTTAAACGCTGAGCCATCTCTCCAGCTCCAGCTTTTTTTTTTTTTTTTTTGAGATAGGGTTGCACTATGTAGCTCTGTCTGGCCTGGAACTAGATATGTAGATCAGGTTGGCTTTGAATTCCCAGACATCCTCCTGCCTCTGCCTCCTGAGTACTGGGATTAAAAGTGTGCAAACCACAAACCTGGCTCCTTTCTTTCTTTTTTAATGTGTATGAATGTTTTCCCTATGTGAATTTCTGTGCATCGTGTGTGTGTGTGTGCCTGGTGCCCATGGAGGCTAGAAGAGGCCCAAGGATCCCCTGGAACTGGAATTACAGGCAGTTGTGAGCTGGCATGTAGGTGTTGGGAATAATGCCCAAGTCCTCCGGGAGAG